GTGTGAGAGAGTGTGTGTGTGTGTGTGAGAGAGAGTGTGTGTGTGTGAGAGAGAGTGTGTGTGTGTGTATGTGTGTGTGTGAGAGAGAGAGTGTGTGTGTGACTGTGAGAGAGAGTGTGTGTGTCTGTGTGTGTGTGTCTGTGTGTGTGTGTGTGAGAGAGAGAGATTGTGTGTGTGTGTGTGTGAGAGAGTGAGAGAGAGAGAGTGTGTGTGTGAGAGAGAGAGTGTGTGTGTGAGAGAGTGTGTCTGTGTGTATGTGTGTTTGTGAGAGACACTGTGTGTATGTGTGTGTGTGAGAGAGAGAGAGAGAGAGAAAGAGTGTGAGAGTGTGAATAAGAGATGGGCAGTGCCTTTGAGAGAGAGGGAATGAGTGAAAGAAAGCACCTGGAAACTGGCTGTTGCTGGCATTCGTTTGACCACTCTTCTTCTGCCCACAGATGTGGCTGTTGGTGCCCCTTATGCTGGTGACAAGAGCCAGGGCCTGGTCTACATCTACAATGGGCGGCCCGATGGCCTCAACAGTACCCCGTCCCAAATCCTGGTGGGCATGTGGGCCACCACTACCAGTGTGCCAGCTAGCTTTGGATTCGCAGCCCGGGGAGCGACGGATCTTGATATGAATGGGTACCCAGGTAAGAAGTTTGCCCGACAGTTTGGAGCAGGCGGGGCAGTGTAGGATGTTGGGAGGCCTTTTGAACAGTGCATCCAAATGTGTTATTTGAATGCTTCATTGTTGACCATCTTCAATTTATACACCCTCAGAGTGGTTACAGCACAGAAAGGAGGCCATTCAACCTGCACTGTCCATGCTGGCTCTCTGCAAGAGCATGTCATCCCGTCCCTCTCCCCTAAACTATCCTTGTAACCCTGTAATTTGGTTTCCCTTCCGGTGGTTATCCAATTCCCTGCCTCCCTCACCCACTCCCAGATCTGAAATACCCAGAGTTCCAGTTGCTGCCATAAGTGGAAATTATCCCATTGCACATCTTCAGAATTATAAAGACCTCAAACAGGCCACCTGTGCGAAGGCTCATTTCGAGAGAAAATGTGTCCCGGACACTTCAGTCTGTCATTTTCTCCCTGTTCTAGAATCATCTTTGTGGATCGTTGACGTACAATATTCTAAGGAGAGTTGACAGGGGAGATGTGGATAGGTTGTTTCCCATTGTGGGAGAGTATAGGACCAGACGATATAATCTCAGAATTAGGGGTCGCCCATTTCAGACAGAGGAGGAGGAATTTCTTCTCTCAGAGGGTAGTAAATCTGTGGAATTCTTTATTATAGAGGGCTGTTGAGACTGGGTCATTCAGTATATTCAAGGCTGAGACAGATTTTCAATCAGGAAGGGAATGGTGAAAAGGCAGGAAAGTGGAATTGACGTTATCAGATCAGCAATGACCTCATTGAATGGCAGAGCAGACTCGATGAGCTGAATAGCCTATTTCTGCTCCTCTGTCCCAGAGATCCAAATGTGGTCACTGTCCCAAATCCAATGCAAGTAGATTCTTCCTCAGATACAGGGATGCAAACCGAGCTGTGCCCGGTATGGGAGATGGTGTGAGTGAGGCAATTCTGCAGCAAGTAGAGGTGCCAGGGTAGTGCTGGTGAGGAGGCGTACAGACAGAGGCAGGAAGAGTTTAGACAGGCTGACCTGTCAGGTGGTGTAGGACAGTAACCAGGTGAGCACTGCGAGAGTGCAGGTCAGTGAGGCACTGACCGTTTCCGCTGAACACAGGCAGTCTAATTGTCGGCATATCCCAGCATCCCGGGCAATCGGAAAGCTCCAGGCAGCTGCAACTGGATGCTGTGCCATCCCCAGAATTGGGCAAGCTGATCTGTGCCTTCTGAGAACTGCTGTCACAATTCTCCAATCTGGGACTGGGTGGTTCAGTGTGTTATCGCACTGTCCTTTCACACTCTGGGACCGGGTGGTACAGTGTGTTATCGCACTGTCCTTTCACACTCTGGGACTGTGGGGTACAGCGTGTTATCACACTGTCCTTTCACACTCTGGGACTGGGTGGTACAGTGTGTTATGGCACTGTCCTTTCACACTCTGGGACTGTGTGGTACAGTGGGTTATCACACTGTCCTTTCACACTCTGGGACTGGATGGTGCAGTGTGTTATCACACTGTCCTTTCACACTCTGGGACTGGGTAAAAGGGGAATGTATTGTGCTCCTTGTTTCTTTCTGTTAAATTTCTGTGTTTTTTTTTGCAGATGTGATCGTTGGGGCGTTCGGTGTTGACCAGGCTGTTGTTTACAGGTAGGAATGTGAGGCACCCTGCCCAGTTCCACTGTCAGTGTTCTCTTCCGCAATTTGTAATCACTTTAATGACACAAATCATTGACCTGTTTCACATGGTCATTGTTGGCATCCATTGGCACTCTGAGTTCCACATCTGATTTGGGAGCTTACCCGAGTCATTCGATTGTCTGGGAATCGCTCTTTGTGATTTTCATTGGATTGGGCACTTTTGGAGATGACCAGAGGGTTTTCCCTGTCTGTATGATGTGGCGTGTTTCCTTGAAGTTTAAATTTAAGTTTGAATCCTTTTACCTCTCAACCTTGGCTGTCTCTTATCTCACAGACTGTGGCAATCTGTTTGCTGGCCTTTGTTCCCATAGCAACAATTCCAGCAGGAACTGATCTTGTGTCTCTTGGTCCTAGGGCCAGGCCAATTGTCCGGGCAAGTGCCAGTTTGAAAGTAAGCCCTCCAGTCTTCAACCCTGAGGAGAAGGGATGTACCATAAATGGCACTGACATTCAGGTTACATGGTATGTATGTCATTCCTGCCAATCAGGATTGTTCCTCAATTTTTTTGTAACACCTCTCATTTCAACTTCCACCACACCCCCAGTGAGATTGCAAGTGAGCAATTTCTGACAGGGCCTGGATGTTATCGTCAAGATGAACTTTGGAATGGTCAAAAGGATTTTCACCCATCTTTCAGCTGAGAAGTTCAACCAGTGCCCATGCCTGCTCTCTCTATGGGCATACAAGATCCGGGTACAATACTTGAGCAAGAAGAGGGGAGTTGTCCATGGGTCCTAGCCAATATTTATCCCTCGGTCAACACCACACCCAGAAAGAGAGATGATTCGGTGTTTATCTCATTCTGATTTCTGGGATCTCACTGTGCATGAACTGGATGCTTACTCTTGTCCACCACAGCAGTGGCTGCACTTCCAAAAGTGTGCTTCATTGGCTGGTCTGTAGGCCATCAATGGGTCTTTCTGGGTGGTCCAGCTGGAACCCATGGTGTGTTACTTGGATTGGAGCTGGAACTTTGGGTGGAGGCACCAATTGGAAGGGCACAACGACAGGAGGGAAAGTAAGTGGTCATGTAGGTGGTGGTGGGAGGGGCAAGAAGTCCTGCTTCAAGAGAGCTCTCACCCAAACAGTTAGAGCCAAGGGCGAGGTGGGGGGTGGCAGATGTGGAGTTTTGCTGAGCTAAGATTGGCAAGCACTGGCAAGGCGGGGGCGGGACTTGAGTTTGAGTCTCCAGGGTGTGGGCAGTAAAGTTGCATGGAACGGGGGCACAGAGATAGGTGGAGGGACAGGGTAGTGTTGAGGAAGTGGGGAGGCTGCAGAAGGACTTGGACAGGCTGGGACAGTGGGCAAAGAAGCGGCAGATGGAATACAATGTGGGTAAGTGCGAGGTTATGCACATTGGTAGGAACAATAGAGGCACAGACTATTTTCTAAATGGGGAAGAGCTTCTTTCGGGGTAATCTGACACACGGAGAGACTTGGGAGTCCTAGTTCAGGATTCTCTTAAGGTTAACTCTGGTTCAGTTGGCAGTTCGGAAGGCAAATGCAATATTAGCATTCATTTCAAGAGAATTCAAGAGCCTGCTGAGGCTGGATAAGGCTCTGGTCAGACCATGTTTTATGTCCCATATCTGACCAAGCACCTTGGCAGGATAATAATTGCTGCCCAGCAGCTGCACCCTCTGGGTATACAGCCTTTCTCCCACAGCCCACATGCCCACGATCAGTACCCCGGGGCTGCAACTCCATGCCCCTCAGAGGCTGACCGATGTCGTCATTTGTTGACAGAAATAAATGTTGTCTGGCTGCTCAACTCATGGAGGCTTCACGACTGATGGGTCTGCTTGTCACTCAGAATGTTCTGGAATGCCAGCCGTTGGAAACAGCGGGGCGCCTCTGTGACCCAGAGGCCAGGGTGAAGCCTCTGAAGGTCAGGCTGAGCTAGGCCTTCATAATTGCCTCAAAGGGTTAGCATTCGCTGCTGTCTCTAAGGGGTTAAGTCTGTCTGGCCTCTCAGGGAGACATCAAACGCCTTTATTTGACCAGTTTGAAGACAATTGGTGGCATAGAGTATTCCAGAATGCCACTCAGTGCAAGGGCAGTTAGGGATGGGCAACAATTGCTGGCCTTGCCAGTAATACCCACATCCCAGAAGGGCATGAAGACAAATGTTCTCCTTCAATCTACATCACTACAAATGATGCCCAGGTCAGTCTCAAACTGCTGTTTGTGGGAGCTTGCTGTGCACAAAATGGCTGTTGTGTTTCCTGCATGACAACAGTGACTGCACTTCGAAAAGATTGGATGTAAAGCACTTGGACATGTTCTTCTGGCTGTGATAGGTGCTATGTTAACGGAACTCTTTCCTCTCTTTCACAGCATCAATGTCAGTTTTTGCCTCAGTGCCTCTGGGAAACATGTGCCTCAGTGGATTGGTGAGTACTGGAACCAGACAATGAGGCTCGATTCAAAACAGTGAATGGGAAAAAGGTTCCACAGAGTGATACAATTCCGGAAATAACCATTTTTGTATTCAGGCCAGAATGGCCAGTATGGTGCTACGTAAATGCAATTTATGCACATTTCTACAACTGACTAATAACTGATAAGCTGTGCATTACTGGACAGTGCACTCAATCTAATACAGAGACCAGAGAACGTCCACCAAGGTGAACATACCGTGTGCACTGTCAGAGGGTCAGTACTGAGTGTTACAGACCAGACCAGACCCCCTTAATATACTTTAAGAAGGTAGCCTAGACCCTAACTTTTCCTGTCTTAAAGGTAGATGTGAAGTGCCACGTACAGATGCAATGCAATTGGTCAAACTGCTCGAAGTTAAACAAAGCACAATTTATTTAAATACTGTAGTTAAAATACAACCAAAGAAAGAGGAATTTAGAATAATGTAACTCTATTGGAAAGCATAACCAAATAATAGATACAGTAATTATTACAAACTAACTGTTCCAATTTAGTGACATCCCATAAACACACCCCTTGGCAAAAAAAAGATAAATTCAGACACAGATTCTCACATGCAGTTCTCCAATCCAGGAGGAAAACGTCAAGAGAAAATTCAGAGAAAGTAAGAGCTATGAGACATTTCACTGAAGTTCCAATTATTTTGAGACCCCAATAGATTCTGCTTAAAAATAAACCTAAAAACTGAAAAAAACAAGAAAGTCTGGTCTGTGAGAGCTGGCCACGCCCAGTCTGCTTCCTTTGTTCCAACTTAAAAGAAACCCAAGGCCTCGCAAATTGTTTACTTTCTTAGAGACAGCTCATGCATCTGCCTACAACCTCTCTTCAAAA